GTCCCTCCTTTTGACCCACAGGAAGGTCCATGTGGGAAGTGGATCCAGTCAAGGTTTGGAAGGTGAGAAATCCTTCTCTGGAAAAGACGCCGAAGATCCCCCTTCACTGAAACCCTATAAATGTGATGAATGTGACTTATGCTTTGGTCGATCATCATACCTCCTTACACATCAGAAAATCCACACTGGAGAGAAACCTTATCAATGTCTGGAATGTGGGACATTTTTCCGTGAGAAAGCCACCCTCAGAAAGCACGAGAGGACTCACACGGGCGAGAAACCTTTCAGCTGTGGGCAATGCGGGAAGAGCTTTTCTCAGAAGACAAATCTTTGCGTCCATGAGCAGATCCACGCGGGAATCAAACCTCACAAATGCTTGGAGTGTGGAAAACAGTTCACACAGAGTTCCTCTCTTTGGAAACACGAGAAAACACACCGAGGGGAGAAAAACGAAAAATGCCTTGAATGCGGGAAGTGTTTTATCTTGAAATCAAACCTGTTGCAACATCAGAGACTTCACACCGGGGAGAGACCCTATCAATGTTCAGAATGTGAGACACGATTTCTGACTTCTTCTGACCTCCGGAAACACCAGAAAGGGCACAGAGACGAGAAACCCTATAAATGTGGGGCTTGTGAGAAAGGTTTTCTTGAACTAAGGAAGCTTCAGAGTCATGAGAGAATCCACACAGGGGAGAAGCCGTTCAAATGCCTGGAGTGTGAGAGGTGCTTTTCCCAAAAGCATCACCTTGGAAGGCATCAGAGGGTCCACACAGGAGAGAAGCCCTACAAATGCGGAGAATGTGGAAAAAGTTTTGCTCAGAAAGGATACCTTTCAATCCATTATAAAACCCACACAGAGGAGAAGCCCTTTCAGTGCAATGAGTGTGGACAATTTTATCGTGCCCTAACAACCCTTAGAAAACATGCAAAACTTCACACAGGGAACAAAATTTCAAACGGTTAGAGTGCGGGACAACATTTTGCTCATTCATGTTCCCTTAAAAATCACAGCCAAATCTATATAGCAGAGAAGCCCTAGTCAGGTAACCTTAAATTTAAGCATAATTTTCAAGAAGAACCTATCCCTGTTACTTTTTGATCAGTGTGTGCTAGTCAAATCAAATATTTCTTAACCTTTTATTTTTGTTTTCATTTTTTGGGATATAAATTTATCATTTCAGGAAATGTTTAATAGCTTCCAATTTTGTTACTCTTGTTTTTTAATTATTTTGTTTAGTTGTTCTGAGGGGGATTTAAGCTAACTGGAAAGCGGGATTATATTGTTATGTCATTAGCTATTTTTGTTAATTGGATCTGGATCTTTGGGGATCCATAGGAGAGGTGAAGATTTAAAGATAAGTTGGTAAAAAATGGGATCGGGTACACAATGAAGATGCCCCTGTTTGTAATTGGAGAGAGAATGAAAAAAAAGTCACACACTCAGGATTAATTGGAGTGCAGGTTACTTAGCACGTACATTGCAGGTTGTGAGATATGTTAACTTTGAATTATGTAATGATTTTAGTGTGAATTGTAAATTGATACCAGGTTGCTTATCATGTGACCCAAAATTCAGGTTATAATATGTGCAATTAAGATTACTATTATGTACAATTGCTTTATCTATAAATTTAATTTTTAAAGCATATTCTTCTTGTTCTTTACTCTGATGCTTCATTATTCATGCACCCTATCGCATTCAATGTTTTTCTTGCCTATTTTCGTCAATCTGGAAACAATTACCTTATTTCCCATCGAAATACCACTTCAAAATAGTACAGGTAGACCTTGAGTTACGACCACAATTGAACCTTAAATTTATGTTGCTAAGTGATACATTTGTGAAACGAGTTTTGCCCCATTTTACGACTTTTCTTCCCATTCTTGTGAAGTGAACCATTGCAATTGTTACGTTAGCAACACGGTCCTTAAGTGAATCCGGCCTCTTCATTGGCTTTGCTTGTCAGAAGATCGCAAAAGGGGATCTCATGACTCAGAGAGACTGCAACTGTCATAAATATGAATTAGTTGCCAAGAATCTGAATTTTGATCATGTGACCATGGGGATGCTGCAGTGGTTGTAAGTGTGAAAAATGGTCATTTTTCAGTGCCCTTTTAACTTGTTATGGTCACTAAACAAACTGTTGTAAGTTGAGCACTACCTGTATAAACTGAATGGGATATTTTTGAGGGATTCATTAACCTCACTAAAGAAGGCCTAACTTAACTCCTTGCTTGCCCTAAACTGTGCTTAATTCTCTTCTCCTGTGTCTCCATGAAGTGGCATCTCATTCCCAGCCCATGACAAGGTTGTGGGAATTGGCATCTCCAGCAGATCTCATTAAAGAAAATAAAGAATCCAGTATCGTGTATGTAAGAAAACTTTCAGCTATAAATTGAATCTTAAACCTCAGCGGAAACTCCACAGTGGAGAGAAACCCTTTCAGTGCTAATGTCAACCTTTCCAACTTGGTCATCCAGCAAAGAAAAGATCTCCTACCCCATTGTTTAGCCAAAATTAAAGTTTACTGAAGATGAAGTTGTGACAAGTAGCAAAGCTGGATCTGGTATTTTTGCACACAATTTTCTCGTTTCTCCGGTCATCTTGTTATCAGTTAATGTCCAATTGGGTGCTTGTATATTGCTTCAATTGCCAGGCCTGTTCTTTCCAGACACTCATATAAAATAACGTGTACAAATCAGAGAGGTCCAGAATTAAAAATTAGGAAGATCTGACTAACAACAAAAGTAAGAACAAACCCCTTTAGAACTGACAAATGAAGGCATCAAAATAGTGAACAGCTTCTGCTTTTTAGGATCAACCTTTAACAGTGAAGGAAGAAATAAGCCCCAGTTCAGCACTTGGTAGAGCAGCCATAAAGGCCTTTGAAATCTTATTTAAATGCCATAACTAAAATAATCAGAATTGTGTAAGCCATGATCCTCTTCCCTATGATCTTCTATGCACTGAGCAGAATATTAAAAAGTGGAATATAAAGTATAGAAAATAGAATAGATGAAGAGAGAAAAGAAACTATGGAATATTAAAGTATATAAACAATGGAATGGAATGGAGCAGAATAAAAGCCAAAGTTGGACTTAAACAAACAGGATAGGACTAGGACTGAACTTTCCCCATGCCTATTCTCCGGATGCCCCTAGCCTAGTAGTACTACGACTCCCATCACACCCTGCCTTCACATATTTGGGCCACCCTTTCGAAGACAGTTGCTTTGGATCTGGTGTTGAGTCCTTAGAAGCATAACGAGGCATATAATGTCCCTGTAGGGATGTCAATGGCGGCATTCCTGTAAGGGTAACCGGCCTTGCGAATTGCCCTGTTTGCTGGGTTGCCATAGAGACCATTCGCCACCTTAAGAAAGCTGAACTCCAACTCCCAGAATGCCTCGCGCTGGCTGAGGAACTCTGGGAGTTGAAGTTCACCTAGCTTAAAGTGGCTAAGGTTGAGAAACACCGTCCTAGACTAAGCTGATGCATTAAACAACCCCCAAAATCTGGTTACAGCTTTGCACAAACCAGGTGCTTCTGTCCAGACTTAGTTCACCCGCGGTGTGTGTGTGTGTGTGGAGGGGGTTACAGACCTGGTGCCAATCTTGCTTGCCCTTCCCTCCCCTTTCCCCTCCCTATTTGATCATCAAGCCTCGTCTTGCTCTGGGTTCCGAAGGAGTTAAGTCTCTAAGCGATCGATTCCTTAGAGAGGAAGAAAATTTGGGGTGGAGGGGTTTTTGGGGGGGGGGGGGGGGGGGGAACTGGGGAAAAGAAGGCCAAAGGCTCCTTCCATCCCCGGTCTCGCCTGAATGCTGCCGGGGCCGGCGTTTGCAGGAGGGGCTGAAATCGATCCTGCTCTCTCTTCGGCTCTTTGTGGTGTGTGTGGGATCGGGCCCACTTACCGGGGTGTGTATGTGTGGGAAAACACCCGATCTTCTTCCTTGTGCATTTGAGCAAAGCTAAACTGCAGAGAAGGAGGAGGAGGAGGAGGAGGGTGGGAGGGATGAAGGGCGCTGGGAAGTCCCCCACTCAAAATAGATCCGAGCTCACTCCTGCAAATAAAAGATTACGTGGGAAGGGGGCGCCTTTGCAGAGCAAGCAAGAGGGTCTATGGTCTCCCCTTTTCCATGCTGTGGGGAGGGGGAGCAGCTTAGCCCCCTCCACCCCAAGTTCTGGTTTTCAGTTTGATTGCTGCCTCTCCTCCCTCCCCTTCCCCACGCCCCTTGCAGGGTTCAACAGATTTACCAGAGTTGGAAGGGACCTTGTAGGTCATCTAGTCCAACCCCCTGCCCAATCAGGAGACCCTACTACGCCATTTCTGACAGATGGCAGTCCAATCTCTTCTTGAAAGTCTCAAGGGATGAAGCTCCCACAACTTCAGAAAGCAAAGCTGTTCCATGGGTTGATTGTTCTCCCTGTCAGAAAAGTTCTCTTTTTATTTCCAGGTTAAAACTTTCAGGGTGTATTCAATGCTTTGCTAGGGGCTGGGAAGGAAAATCCATCTGGTTCAATTCTTAAAATGGGAGAAAGATGCTGGAAGCCACACAGAGGCTGATTGTAAAGAAAGTCCATTTATTGGTGGACAGAACCACCAGGGTTTGTGGGTTCTGGTGCAGCTGGCAAAATGGAGTTTAGAGTGGGTTGGTTTTTAAACCTTCTGGATTTCTATGGGGGTCATGGCTAGCTCTACAGGCAAAAGGGAAAATGCAAATCCTAGGTGTTTGTCTGAGCTAATCTGATCAACCTATTTTTTGTTGCTTATCTGAGTTTGTCTTGATCCAGTCTTTCTGAATGGGTTACCAAATCTGCATTTCTAAAAGCTGTCCGCCTCAGTATTTTTTGCTTGGGACAGGGAAACTGGGACTGTTTTCTGCCTCCCTTAAGGTTTTTTTCCCCATTTCTCCTCTAGGGGAAATATTTTATTCTGCCTTTTTTCAAATATTTCCCAAACTATTTCATACTTCTGGGGCAGGTGGGCTTCCCACACAGGGTTAAAACGTCCAGGGTGTATTTAATGTCTTAGTAGGTCTGGATTGGCTTTATTGGGTGCTTTTCTTTCAAAAAGGGGCAAAGCTGCCTTTATTTTTCTTATCTCCTTGTGGAATTTAGCTGTTGGAGCCTTATTTCTTTTCTTTTTTTAATCCACCCTGTTCCTCATGAGTACTAGGTGGGATGGGAGAGGGGAATACATAAAAGCCGAAGTCCATTAAGACAAAACAATCATTTCTCATAATATCTTTTTTGCCCTTATACTTAATTTATTACCTTCCCCAAGGGTAAACCTGCAAAGTAGACAGGCTGGATACTGCCCTAGTTCCGTATTCCATATACTGAAGGTGGATTTGAACTTCTTTGAATTCCTTCCTTCCTTCCTTCCTTCCTTCCTTCCTTCCTTCCTTCCT